ACTGTCGGCTGTGACGTCATGCGAATCCCATAACTAAAGCAATTAACGTTATAAGAAAATATATAAATACAATCGACCCTTTATACTTTTGTCGGTGCTTAGCTATTGCGTTACTTCGTTCATGTGAATTATTTACTCTGGCAAATAGTGACTTCCCGAATCCGTTGATACGTACTCTTCGGTACTTCTAATCAACTGGAACCGGATAAACGCACTGCGCCGTCACCGATGGCTTTTTTGACTCTATTTGGATTCTCATGATTGTAATAAATGGAGTCAAACTATAGATGATTATATTTTTTACACGTAGGCAGGGGATATTTCTATAACGAGACTAACCAATCTAAGGTATGCGTTGGTGATCAGTAGTTGCAAGCATGTTCCTGTTTTATATCGAATGAATAAACTGATAGCCAGTTTTTGATCCTATAGAGTATATATTTCTATATTTATCAAGCAATTACTGCAGTATGTTCTGCAAAAATCTAATTGTAAAGAAGCTCATTTACAATGCACGAATAGAGCTTCCTCCATAGAGTTAGTATTACATTAATTATAATTAGTACTTCCAAGTCGTGAAAATAGTAAACTTAATATTAAAATTATTTATTAGACATGAGTATGTTTAACCACAACGACCTTACGCGATATTTCATCTACTACAAAACAGAAGGATTATAATACATGCTATCGTAATTTTTAACTATTAGGTTATATAGTTGCTAACAGTATTTAACCGCTTAATCCTGAACGATATCAAATTATATTTATGCGTATTCTACCATATTCATGAGGTAAAGTTATACAAACGCTTTCAATTCTCCCGATAGTAAGTCATAGTAATTCTACTACATTTACTATTCATACCAATAAAACACGTATACAGAGTTCACTGGAAGACATGGAATATATTTATACTGTTATAAACAGATACATGCATTTATCATTATTAGATTAAATTTCACTTATGACTTATAAGAACGACTTAATAAGTAAAAAATTTAAGAAAGACATGTTTAAAGTACTATTGTATTATTGATATTAACGGTCCATATACAACAGATGCAATAGATGCAACGGGTGCAATCATTCAATACAAGTATAAGAAAAACTATACTTGAATTATTCTCTTTATTAAGATTGTTATTATAAGTGGATAATGACAGGATAAAAAACGTAAACGAGAGCGTAAATACTTTCATGCTCAATCAATAGATTATAACTATTAACTCATCAAATTGTATAGAAATACCACAATTAGGTTAATGCAAAAGGCTAACAGTATCGCTAGTACTTAAACGTAAATGTGCTATTTGTATCAAGATATCGAGTTACATCGAGATATGATATTTTGTTGTACGATGTAATCCATACGAGTATGATCACTAAGATCAAGCCTTTAGCTGAGTGACCAAAGATAACAGATAACTTGAGATCTATCTTAAATATTATCCGAAGATAATTCAGCGACATAAACTCTTTATAACTTGCTTGTAAGCAGGTTCCGAAGGTATTTATCATATGATGAATGTACCTACAATATAAATAACAATTAAATCAAATCAATTATAATAACTGTTTAATTAATAGCGATGAAAGTTTTTCTTCCATGTTTTTTCCTAAGCTAAATAAACGAACACACAATCTATGACTACTACTAATAGATAACGAACTTGAGTTTTATTCAAAGGCGCCTCTTTTGCCCATTCGAATAGTTTGTTATAAACGTCGCCATCATATCTACCGAGAACAGATAGTAGCGTCTGATCCGGTATATCGAATGCGTCAACTAAACAAACTGCGACCGGTCGAATTTCACTAAATAGTTCTAATATTTTTACTCGAATGAGTTTGATTTGTTCAAAATCGATGAAGTTGTCCTGATAAAATACATGTTATAATTTCAATTAGTGCTCGCTTAGTTTTAACTTGCGACGATTAATAAAGTACAATGATACGATCTTTATCGCCAACGATAATTATGTATATTATGTTTGTGTTAATAGTAAATTTATTCAGAATACTTACGAGCATAAAATCGCCAGTATTTTGATCTATGCCATGTAAAGCTAGCAGAATAGATAGTCTATGTAACTGTAGATGACAAGATTGTCCCAAGCGCGATTTCTCAATCATATTAAAGAATGTCTTTATTACGAAATAGTGAGTAAATGCCTGTAGAACGAGCAGAAAATAGTATAGACTTAGTATTTAAAAATAGTGAAGAAAAAACTCAAAGCCGAGATTAACTAAAATATTTTAAACAGTTATAAGTACCTTTGCGCAATCCACTAATTTAATTCCGGATTTATTCCAAGCATCGTAACTAGTATCGCCACCAGATTGTAATTCGCGAAGGTATTTATCAGCAATAGCTACTTTTCTGTCAAAGATTGCAGAGTTAATGATATGATAGAGCTAGTTATGGTATTTGTGTCGATTACTTACTTATATGCTCTAGCTCTATAAGCTTCTAGTACTGTATTCGTCTTCTCTAGATCTTGCATATTCTTAACATCCCAGTGTTTACCTGGTGGATTATGTAAGACTGCTGATACACCTAAAGGTGCAGACTTTGGATTCTTGACACAACGAAGTAAATATCTAAAAAATTGTTAATTTAATGTATTCTCTTACTTTTATAAATGTCTTTCTTAGTCTATTTAATTTACAAACTTACCTAGCTGACTGAAGGTACATAACAGTGTTTTCGCCTTCGTATGTGCAAGACGCTAACCAATTATTATAAATATGACCTATACCGCAGGCCGAGA